GGCCATCTGACTCCTTCCTGGAAAACCAACGTTGGGAAATTGAACGAAACACTTCTGAGTTTGGGGCTGCAGGCCGCTGCCTTGTTCGTTGGATCCAGGGAAAACCCAACTGCATCCCTGTGCGGAGAGGGGAGCGCGGCCGAGCTCCAGAGCTCGGCTGTGGTGTGGACTTGGATCGGCCCAGGGTGGCGGCGGAGGGAACATGGCCGCGGGAAGGGGATTCTCCTCCCGGCTCCGCTGCTGGCGGCCTGTGCGGCCCCACAGAGAGAGGCCCTTTCCCTCCTCCTCCAGGGCTGCCCAGGGTCCATCCATGCGGGTTGGAGATCTCCAGAGAAGGAGCTTCCATGGCCTCCACACAGCCCATGCCAGGGCTCTGTCCCCCTCAGTGAAGAAGTTCTTCCTCACACGGAGCCATTAGAACTTCCTGTGTTTTGACTTGTTCCTGTTACCCCTTGTCCTGTCACTGGCCACCATGGAGCAGAGTTTGGCCTCATCCTCCCCTCAGGTACTTGAATGTGTTGATCAGGTCCCCTCTCAATCTTCTCTTCTCCAGGCTAAACAGGTCCTGCCTGCTCAGCCTTTCCCCACAGGAGAGATGCTCCAGTCCCTTCCTCATCTTCGCTGTCTCCTTTGGGAATGTCCACACAGCCGGGCACACCTTGCTCCTCACCTCTTGCTCCTCACCCATTCCTCCGCCAAGGAAAATGGGATTCTCACAGAATTTAACAGTTTTAAAACACCGCCAAGCTACAGGACACAGGCAGCTCTGAGCCTGGTTGGTGCTAAGGTATAACCAGTTTAGAGGGTGCAGAGTAAACAGTTTCACCGTGGTTCAAAGATAGGTCAGTCCTTTCTGGAGACACCCTCTTCACAAGGTACTTCCTATGGCTGATCTTCCTGCAACTCACTGCCCATGAGTCTGTGTCATCTGCAGTCCAAAAAAGAGCTGTTAATCTGAGCCCTGGCGAGTGGTTCCTTTGGCCATTAACAGGGTGTAACCTTTTGGCAAGCCAGGACGTGAAGGACTATCCAAACATAATATTAATAAACCCCCAAGCATATGCACGTTGTTTCTAACACAGAAAGGCAAATTTTGACAGACCAGAGGAACAAAAAACAAACAAGATGACCAAGAAAGATATCATACTTCCATTAGGCCATATGAACCAGCTGAAGTTAACGGGTTTTTCCTGGGTTAACGAGTTGAGTCCAAGAAACTCCAAGATGCGGGGCAGCAAAGAGCTTACACAAAGATTTTAAGAAAACATGAATGTTTTCGCAGAGATGTGCAGGTTAGAGCTGAGGCTCCATGGGTTCTAGCACTTCTGTTGTTCCTTCATCATCTCCTCTAAGATGCGAGTCGCAAAGACCTCAGCAAAGCTCTTCAAACCACCTACCAAAGCGCAGTGCCTGCTTACCCCGCTTGACTCTTCCCCTTAATGCCATGCCTTGCGACATCTCTCCAAGTAAACACAAAAAAAACTTCAAAACCATTTTGTGGGGAGCTAGGAATGTAGAGCAGAGATACTGGAACACTCTGAGCTAGAGAAATTGCCGACAAATGGGGCCCATAAATAAGAATGAGCTAGAGAAATTGCCGACAAATGGGCCCCGTAAATAAGAAACGAACATTTTGTTAATGCTGTAATGAAAACCATACTTGAGATGGTGCTATAATTGCTCTGCTCCTAGAGGGATGCATGTGTTTTGAATGCTAAAGTCACCCAGGGCAGGCTGAGGGAACGATTTGGGGTAGAGGAGCAGAGAGAAGCACAAACCCCTGATTTGACACTCGTGATGACTGTAGATGGAAGGGGAGTCTGCAGGGAAGCGTGTTCTTTGGTGGGTTATCTGCTGTGCTGATGGGTGGGTGTTGAACAAGCACATGTGCTTGAAGAAAACTAACAAATCTTGGCCAGGCCTATGTTGATTTGCTCATGCTCCCAGCTAGCAGCCCAGGACAGGCAACAGGGTCACTCCAAGCACAAGTTTTAATGAGGATATCTAGATCAGCGCTGCAACAGCTCCAACCCAACCTCACGGAGTTGTTTTAAGGTCATCCTTGTTATACAACAGTGACACTGGCCTGTGAGACCATCTTTCCCCTCACAGCATACATAGGAGTGAGCTTGGTAAGCACATGGCCCTGTCATTGCACCTCTGTGGTGGGCCAGAGCGTCACTGGAAAGCAAAGGTCCAATCTGGCCCCGATGTTCACGGTGTCCCCTTGATCTGTCACCTCCCTGTGTGCTTTTAAATTGCCCTGGACAGAGCTCACCTCTGTGCCTGGAGCTATCTTGGTTGGATCCTGCACAGCCTGGCCAGATACAGGTATTTCAGCCCCATAAAGCAGCCTGAAGTAACTACGTAATTAGATGATTAGTCTTAACTCTGTGTAGCCTCAAACAATTCTCTGAGGTGCAGCTGTTGGCAGAAGCAGCCCTGCTATTCAACATGCAGCTGATTACAGCCCTGCCTAGCCAAATATTCCTCATGGTTTCTACAGATGTTCCTCTTCCTTTTTTCCTTCATCCCGTAGCTATGAGCATTATGAGCAGATACTCTTCACCTGCCACTTTTCGCTGCCAATAAACCCAATAAAACCTATTAGCTCATGCCCTTAACCTCAGCAAATCCTAGCTGTGCTGGTCTACACCTCATCTGGGATAATTTAAGGTTTCAGGAACAGTTGGCTAAATGTTATCTTTAAAAATGCCTCCCTCCCTGATACAATCAGGGGCTGAGAGGTTTCAAACAAACAAAACAGTGGAGCTATCCAGGCTCCATAACGTTTCCATAAACCCCTGAGTTAACCCTTACACTAAGTTGTTCACAACTAAGAGCCACGAAGGCGCTGAGAACACAGGCTGGAGCTGCAGGCTCCAGTAAAACAAGACACTGGGATAGATTTTTTGTGGATCTGTGCCAGTTTACACCAGAAGAGACTTTGTTAAGAGTTAATGAGCAACTGTTGAGTTCCTTCTACCAGTAAAGGGATGGAAATTCCATGGAATTTGTGGCTTCCTGCTTCCCTGTCCTGCATCAGAGACAAGGACGGTGCAAAATGGACTGATGAGTCCTGGTGTAGTGCCAAGGAGCAGCAGCTCCTTTCACCTGCACATCAATTCAGGACACTGACATCAATCAGTGCATCAGGTCAGAAGCAGAAAAACATGTTTTTGGTTTTGTCCTTATTTGCCATCAGCTTTTTGTGGATAAAGGAAGACAACTCCAACCCAAAAGCCTCACAGACTGTGCTGAGAGTAAATTTGGACTTTTGTGGAGAGCTGCTATGCGATTTTGAAGGCAGGCACCAGAAACGACTCCGCTAGACCATGCAAAAGGGGAGGAAGGAGCCTTCCCTCCACCCCATCCGACACCAGGTCACGATGCTTGGGAGTGAGGTAACCCTCACAGACGGATCCTCCCATTGGCAACACGGCATGTTTTCTGTCTCCATGGGCAGGACACGCTGAACAGTGGAAACCTGAGGGATGACATTGCTTAGCTGTGTGCAGCCTTGTGGATGTTTCCAGGAATGTCTTGCTCCAGAGGCAGCCAGCTGCAAGGAAGCCCAGCTGGGAAGGACCAGCAGCGCAGATGACAGCTCTCATGAAGCCTTGTGTAACTTGCACAGCTAGTGACAGGAAAGCAGCCTCCTCCCACCAGAAAAACACGAGGCAGCAAATAAGGCTCCGGAGACGCACACACTGGGAGCAGATACATTTTCCTTCTGTACCTCAGTTTACTGCCAGCCAGAGCACTATTTATTTCACTGCCATAAAAGCAACTCTTGAATTTGAAGTTTAGAGTGCCAGCAGCTCTGCTATTGATACCACTTGCTTGCTTGCTTGAATTGTAGCTTTCGAGATGCTGTCCCAATTTACTGCAACTCACTGAGACGACGTGGCTCTAACTTTTCCTCCTGCTCCATCTGGCTCACTCAGTGCCTGGAAGGATGCTCTTTAGGTTGCAGCCTAGAGCTGCAATACTACTAAAAATGCATTTTGTTCTTAGCTTTCTGGGTGAGATTTGTTAATGCAAGTCTACCACATCCTGGCAGGATAGGCCCAAGTCCCTTTAGTGTCCGGGATGCAGTGAACCAACATCCCCTGAAGCCTTCAAGAAAGGACTTTGCTCTTTACGAACAGTAATGTACAATAAGAACATCAACCCATCTATATTACCAGGAGGAGGGAAAATAGAAGCCAGTCTTTCCAAAAAAACTGCCTTTGGCCTTCAGGCTACTCAGCCAAGGCCTTTTATACTGCCTACTAGTGCAGGGAGTCAGAAGAAAAACCTCAACAGAGCTTACTGAGAGTAACCGTGTCGTTGATTCTGAAACTGCAGAGCACTCGGTCAACGTTACGGGCATGGCGAAATCCGTTCCCTCTCACGACCACCTGGAACGACTCTGCAGCAACGGAGACAGAAGATTATTGGATGGATACGTTATTGGATGGATGTACCATCTTGTGTCTGAGAAAAGAGATCGTACCCTCAAGTCTTTTAGACCCCTCTCTGTAATCCTCTTTCTAGGTATATTCCAGCTCCTTGGATCTAGCACTGGGTAAGCTTTACACTCTTGCAGCAGCCATCAGCATTAAGCAACCACCAAAAGTAGCATTTTTAGGCTTTCAGATGGTGAAACAGGGCCATAATCCCTGGAAGTCTGGGCAGCAAACAAGCATAAGGGCTCAGGCTCTGCAATTCCCCTGGCTCTTTGCTATGAGCAGAGAAACCACCTGCCCTCTCTCTTGTCGCTGCCTAAAGGGAGGCACTCACAGAAAATCCCTGCCAATGTCTATGGATCTTCCTCCCATCTTCTTCTGTGAATGCGTATCAAACATGTAAAATGTTCCACGGTCAAGGACACTGCTGGAGCACTCAGCACATCAAAACCACCATTGCAGCTCTAAAAAAATCCAGCAGCAACACTGAACCTGATTTTTGCTAATTCAGAATGTTTTTTCCCTTGCACTTCAGTCACCTTCTTTCATCTCCCTTAAGGACTTGCACACTGTACTTGTCGAGAGAGTATATTTGCTCAGGAATCTGGGCTCTGTTCCAGGTCTCACTCGTTTACAGCCAAGCTGCAGAGCATCCCATCACATCTAGCCAGGGACGTGGCCTCGCAGGCCCATGGTGTGTTGTCCAAGGGCATTTGGGAAGAACAGGGGGAAAAGTGCTCTGCTTTGGGCTGATAAATCCGTAAGAGAAATCAGAGAAGTCTCAACTGCTTGAGATTGAGAGTTCAAGTAGAACTAAAGAACAGTTTTGTCAGTGATGTCAGATTAACCATGATGATCCTGTCTCTGTTTGGGACCAAAAGGGACAGATCCAGGACAAGCCCCACATTTCTGCACTGGTACAAAACCAGAGCACAGGGACACTGACATTCCAGGCAGATGGGCTGTGCTGAAGGGGCCTCATCCTGTCTAGGATCGGTGCAAATAGGGGCTCGGATTAAAGCAGGGTGACACGGAGCCCTCATGTCCTCTCCTCCAAGCAGCACAAAACAAATCAGTTTTTCCTCCTTCAATAGACAAACTATTGTAGTCACACACAAAATACAGGGCTGACTCCTGGTACTTATTGGGCAGCTACACGGGTGTCTCAAATCTGCTAGGGAAATCTTCCTATCTATTGGTTTAGTAAAGCTACTATAGGATTAAAAAGTCTCTGATGGCTGGTGGAATTCCACAAAAGCAGGAAGAGATGCAACCCCTGTTAATCAGCTCCTTCTGCACTCTCTTGGAATTGGGGAGAAAGGTAGAAGCATTTCAGGCAGCGTAAACAACAGGGACCTCAATTTACACTTACCCCCTGCACATATGCTGGAAGGTTCTGCAGCCAGAATTTCAATGCATGACTTCTTCAAAATCTAGAAGAAAAGAAGTTTGAATGAAACATCTCAGAACTGTTTCTATAAAGGCACAAATCTTGAAACTTGAGGGGGTTTCTTACCCGTCCTAACACCTAAATTGAGCCTGTCACAATTAGGTCACCTTCCCTTTTCACTGTCAGCCAAGCGTGTCCAAGTGCACCCTCAATATCTCATTGTCATTTCAACCCAGGCAGTTTTTGTTTTACTTAGAGTTCTTTGCATTCAGAATCAGCTAGAAATAGTCTTAAACAATGCAGTGTGTCTTTATAAGGGCTGGCACTGCCTTTTTACACGTAGACAGCAATTCAAACCAATACTTCACACTTGGCAAAGGGCTTGCAAGTTGAGAGGAGCACAGCAGGTTTGCACGCCGTCTCCTCTTGTACTGTTAGAGTTGCTCGAGTTATTTGCAAGCAAAAACCTCTCCTGCTGCAAAGACCAAGGCGAGTTCTTAACTACACGGCCAAACCGAGCGGCTTCTGCAAGGCCCTGAGAGCAGCAGCAGTGACGGAGCCGTGGGGATCGAGCGGCCCCGGGACGAGGTAACCAAAATTTAGGTCAGCTCCAAGAGGCAAGTAAATGTCAGCCAAGCATCATGACTCAAATCCAGCACAGAAATCACTTTCCCAACTTTAAATTGAAACATCTGGAAGGAAAGCACAGCAAGCAACGCGATGGATTCTTTAGGAAAAGAGGCATCTCGTATCCTCTGCAACCAGGGCGCTCTCCCTCGGGAACACAGAGTTGCTAGAAGTGCTGGTGCAGCAATCACCTCTAATCAAATAAAAAGCCCAACCAAAGCCTAACCAAATAAAAAGCCCAACACGAAGCTCTTTAACTGGAGCTGGAGCTCCCCAGGGTTGCTGGAAGCTGAAAGGATACCCAAGAGCTGAAGGGAGCTGGACCGTCGGAGCCGCTGGCGGTCCCGCAGGGAGGAAAAAGAGAAGCTTTGCAGGAACAAGGAGGCTACACAGTAACTGTCAAGAGAAAAAGAAAGGGACAGGCAACAGTTGAGAGCTGAGAGGCACCAGAACAACTCGAAAGGCAGAATCAGAAAAAGAATATGCAAGAAATCAGGATTCTTCCAACATATCTGCAGCTATCAATGCACCCACCCTGCGGCTCATGAGCACAGCTAGGAGGGACGGCTGTGTTTGAGTTTCCACTGTGAAAAGATCTCATTTAAAAATACATTCTTTTCACTTCTACCCATCTCCCTTTTAGATTTTGCTCCTGTCATCTTTAGCATTCCCAAACCATTTTTTGAATATCATATACGGTTTGCTCCTCTCTTCTTCATTGGCTTTCAGCAACAAAGTTAAAAAGAAGAGCCAAAGTGGTTGGAAAAGGAAAACAAGAAAAACACAACAATAATCTTGGAAAAAAAAAAAATAAAACCATGCAAAACTAACAGGTTGAATTTCAGGAGCTCTGTTCAGGCCTTTCCTTGCAAACAGTCATGCTGGGAGCCAGCCCTGATGGGGGTGGAAGAGCAGAGGTCCCAGTTGGCAGATGCAAAGCTCCCTGTCCCCCAACCACTCTATTTACAGGAATATAACAAAGCACTGGCGCTGACAGCTTTTTAATGCCAGTTGCAATATTTGTTTGGATGTGGAGTATCAAAGATTGCAAGCCTCCAAGCACCCTAACTTCATTAAGTGAAGATCAGGCAGCACTAACTAGAGCAAAGGAATTCCTTTATGCCCCCTTAGTGTTGCAAAAACACATTCAAAAGGACTTCAGTTTATTCAAAGCAGGAGATTTCATCAATTCTGATGCTAAAGCGAGGCTTATTTGCTCCATGGGAGCACGGAGCCAGACTCCTCATTACAGCAGCTGGACATTGCTTATTAATTTTTCATTGAAGGGGGAATTCTCGTTAGCAAACAGGATGTAGACATTTAACGGCTGCTCGCTGCCCATCAGCACTGGAGTGAATGACCTACAGGCTGAGGCTGGGCACTCATTATATCAGGCTCTGCTGAGCCACCAAATAGCAAAGCCTGTTGCCAATTACGAAATAATTTACTTTACAAAGTGTTTCCTGGCCAATAACGTCTACATGAGCTAAAGAATGCATTTATTAGGTCATTTTTAAAGATGCACTGGGGGCAAGGAGGAGGAAGCAGAAAGTGTGATCACACCCTATTGAAACCCTGCACAGAAACACTACGTGGCAGGACTGGGGGTTCCCAATCCTCCTTTAGGGTCAGGTAGATGCTTTGAGCTCTGGCTTTCTCTTGGCTGATGTAGAAGGAAGACAGAACAGAAGACAGATTGAGAGCACCAAGGTGATGCTCCTGAAGTGCCCTCACATCCTCTTCCCTTGCTGCCTGCTGAATCCTCTTTTTCCCTTCAATCCAGTATTCCAGAAAGTAACTAACATCCACTTTTGCCTACCTTGTTCCTGCTCATCACTCCACAAGACAACACTGCTGCCAGCAAGAGATCCAAGCTCTTTGCTGGGCAATTGCACCTCTGTGAAACGCTCCTTTTCAGAGCTGGTAAACCTGGCACCAGCCAAAGAGCTTCTCAACCAGGGTCTTGGAGCCAAAGGGCTTCCCATTCTCTAAGTATAACTGGAAAGGAAGTTAGAACTGCTTCTGGAATTCATTAAATACAGGGAATACAAGGTTGGGAAGCAGAACGGTGGTTTTAGTTGTTCTGTTGCTTTCTGCAATGGCAAGCAACACCTGATTGTCCAAGAGAAGGGAGGCAGTAGCTCCACGCTTGGAGAGTGCCAGGAAAACCCAAGATTATGTTCCACTTACATGCAAGAGCGCAAGGGAAAACCAAGTCTGTGTGGAGGGAAGAGCTTTGCTTGGTTTACGTGGTCAGAAGAGTGTGCAACTGCTGTAAACACAGAAACCTGAACCCCCTGGGCGAAGAAACCCCCCTAATTTGAAGTGGAAAGTCGTAAAATTCATCTGTGTTTTAGCAGCTAAGAAGCCTATAGCAAAATGAACATAACACATGTTCCCAAAGGGATCTCCCGTCCTCCTCTGCAGTGATGGGAAAGGGAATCGTATCCCGTAACCACTGTAATTCAACTGAGCAAAGGAAAAAAGTACGGAAAGCAAGCTGGAAACGCACCATTTCCCAGAAAATGCTTGGCACGTTTTACACAGAATATTAAAATGGTGCCTATATCCTTTTGTAGGATGCCCTAGCTAGGTGAAGGGAAGCACATCCATGAGGACAGACAGGACACAGAGAGCAAACGGATGGAGAGACCAACCAGTGCCCAAATTCTTCAGGAAAAGGGGGATGTTCTGCCACGTCTTATTCTGCTTCTTTTGAGAGAGTAACAGCCTTTTTATTAACTGCAGCAATGTCTATTTGAACAAGTACTTCCTGCTAAGGAGGGAGACACATAGAAAAATGGAAAAATGGACTCTGGGTCGATTGGTTTCTTTCGGGGAAAAGAAACCAGAGACACACTCAGAGCTCCCCATTGCGACCCATTTATGGGCTCAACCTTGAAGCAGCAAAATTAGCAAAACAAAATTCATTTCTTGACACCAAACCTTTGAGTGCCTCAGGAGCAATCGCTAGATCCTTGTGAACGCAGGAAAACTTGGCTTTCCAGTGTCCACCCTAACACAAACTCCACTGTGCACGCAGGCGAACGCACGATTAAAAATACTTACGGAGTCTATGATCCCCTGAAGAGCTTCAAAACCATCGTTCACTGGGAAGACATGATCTTTGCTGTCGGCAATTCTGGCCAGCTGACGGAGCAGCAAAAGTAAATAAAGCAGAAATGCAAAGAATGAGATCAATCAGCCAGCAGGCAGCAAGTTAAGAGCTCCTCAGACTCATCCACTTGCAAGTAAAAAAACAAATACTTTAAGTAGTCAGTGTGGATTGCTAATGCATTATAGTCTGCCAAGCATTGAAAACTTGATACCTTTAGCCTGGCTGAGTTTAGAAAGCTCTATATTGGCAATCAGAAAAGGATCCTTCAGTTTAAAGGCAAGACAAAACAAGGGTTTCACCCATGTCCACACTCGAATTATTATTATTTTTTTTAAAAAAATTTCCTACAGGAGTGTAAAGGTTCCTGATGTGGATGGGCCATCAAGGCTCTAACTTTTCAGGTCCCCGATGCAGGAAAGCACCTCAAGGCAACCACTGTTTAAAGCAGGCAGGTAATTGAATGATTCAGTATTTTTGCATATAGAAAAAAGGAAGTTTTTTCCCCATCCAGAGATCTCAGCTTGATTCAGCTTTCCTGTCAGGACAGATGTTGGCCCATTTGTTCCAAGTTCAGCCGGTTCAGACCCAAAGAGAGGGAAAGGAGCTACCCAGAAACATTGTCTGAATGGGGCAAGGGAGTAGAGGGTAATTTTAACCTCTACATGACAGGAATAGGGCCAGGAACAGGGAAGAGAAGGAGAAATGGGTTATCACCTGCAAAGAGCTCCACACAGGCCCATTTGTTAACAGCACAACAAGAGTTAAGGCCAAACTGTGGGGCCCTGTCAGCAGTAACGAGCTCTCCATGCACTTGCTGGAGCAGAACCAAGTCTCAGCGCCGCAGGGCCCACATTTGTTATAGTCATTGTCCCCCACAGAGGGGGACATCGCCCTTCTTGCCCTTCCTTGGAGGCTTTGTCCATCAAGGGGGGTCCCAGGCTATCCCTGTTCCCCACCTCATCCCAACTGGGGTATTAGAAGTGCTCACTGCTCAAGGAAGATGCAGCTGGTTCCATAAATGAGGCTCTTTGTGCCAGGCAGGCTATGGAGAGGGAAGGAATTAGGGAATCTCCAGTCTTACTTCTCCTAGGATCAATTTAGAAATCTTAATCTACTGCGTCAATCAGAAAACGTACCAGAATATTAATGTCTTTAATGAAGTTGATTGATGGTGGAATATATTGTGGAAATATCTCAGTTTTGTGGAAAAACAATCAAGCTTTTATATCTGAAAACCCTTCCCAAGCAGTGATGCCCCTCACCTGTGTCTCGTTGAAGTCTTTCACACCAACACAGTACACAGTAGCTCCCAGGTCCCGCGACCGGTTGGCCTGAAATAAAGAATTTATGGAGAGAAGCTTGAATCCAGAGAACTGAAGCAACTCACTAAAAACCAAGCTCAGTGCTCCTCTCCAAACCAATGAAAATACATGCCTGAATCTTTGCTTTTAAAGCAAATAGCTTCATCTTTTTCTGAAGTTTAAGTGCCAAAATATTGGCCTCATCTTGACTTTCATTTCACATACAGAGTCACTTTTCCTCATCCAGACAAAAATGTCTAAAAATGTCTAAAACCTTGAGCAGTCTTCCTTGGTGAGGTGTCTATTTAGGTACACAGCCCAAAAGGCAGGTGTATTTTAGCAAATGTATCAGCTTCTATTCTGAATTATTTTTTCTAAAAAGAATTACTTAAGTATTTAGCATCAGACATTCACCTTAGCTCTCCCTCCAGGCCCAGTTAGGGAACTGTGGGTTTTTCAGGATACACAAAGCAGATCTAAGCTCCTGTTTTTGTGCATCTAAAATGGGGGGCTCCAAAACTCATGTGGCCACCTCAGTGCCCCGTTTTCTGCAGTAACAGGACTCCAGGTGCAGCCAATTCCTCATTTCTGTGCCAGCTCCAGCCCTGTCATCTAAGTTGCTGGAGGATAAACGCCCTCGAGATGCAAATAAGCATGGATGGAAGTGGAAAAGCAAGTTTCTATTAGCTACAGGGCAGCAAAACAGCTTTGGAACAGGATTAAACTCATCTGAGTGATGCCCACAGAGGAAAAGAGCAGCATTTGGCTCCACAAACACTTTGGAGGACTTAGATCTTCCCATTCAGAAGCAGGAAGAGGAATGAAAGCACTTGTGCTAATTGCAAAGTAGATAATCTGAAAGACTTTTCAGAAAGTGATATAAAAATATTCATTCTCTTTGGTCTAATTCTTTGTAATATAGTCAGAATACAGAGTGAGAAGATCGAAAGATTTCCCAAGACATTCCAGAGAGCACTGACACTTCCGTGGCAAACTCCTGCTTTTTCTTCTCCCATTTTTCTCCCATATGCTCTAAGATGCATGTCTAAACAGCCTGAAAAAACAAGATTTGTCATCAAGGAGAAAGGTTTTTCCTATCTTTTGCTTCAGAAGCAGCAAAATCAGCTATTTTACTGTCTCCCAGGCTAGTGACAGGGAAGGGACCTTCTTACCTCCCTCTCCGAGTAGAAGAAGAGGTCCTCGTGCAGCTCTCCATCCGTCAGCGCAATGATGACACTTGCAGTTCTATAACCTAAAGAAAAAGCTACTGTAATAAACACTGCTCAGGAACATCAGGGGACTAAGTTAGCATCAAATACACCCATGAAAGACTAGTTAGCAGGTTTACAGTACCAGAATGATGAAGACCATGTGGGATGCCCTCGCTCTTCAGCCAACTCTTTTTGGGAACATGTTAATCTCTGCATTTTTTTCCCCACTTATGCACCCACCTAAACCACTTTTCTCCCATGTTCCTTCCAGATGTCACTTTTTCTTTTTCACTCCAAACCAACTAAGTTTAACCTTTTTTTTTTTCTCCCCTCAGTATTTCAGCCCAGCAGATGGCTGTAGCCATCGAGAAACTCTGCAAAGCTTTCCTAGTTATTTCCTGGCTTTATTATGTCTTGATATAGTATCAACTCAAGAAATATAAAGAGATCTTCAGCTTGTGACCAAAACCTAATTTGGAATTTAAATAAAATTGGTAGCAAAATGATCTAAAAATATCAGCTCTTCATCACTTCTACATAACACGTTTGGCAGTGTAGCTGACCACTGCATTCTCTGCTGCATTGCTTATGGCCCCAGGATTTGTTTGCGCTTCTGAAAATAGATTAACTGCAAATCTGAAGTCGCATCTTGCATGAACATTGCTAAGAAAAGCGAAGGCTTAAGTATGTCAAGACTTGTGCCTAAAAACCTTGCAAGTTATCAATCTTTGACTTAAATCATCAAGGGGATTTTCCTGCCTTTATGAGCAGCTGTGTCTAATGATCTGCTCTTGAAAAAGGAAAAAAAGAATCAGAAGAAAAGCAACTTCTGCTGAGATTATCTACCCTGGGTCTTTCTGCTTTCTGACACAGACATGAACTTGAATCCTCTGCTGAGTTCCTGACATCAAGGAACAGGAGACTGAAGCGAGACAGACCCTGCCCAGCAGTCCTAAATGCAGGGCCATCACTCAGCTGCTGCAGGAAACAGATCTGGGTACCCAATTTTCCTAGACCCATTTAAAAATCTCCAATTAAAAATGTCATTGCACATTTTTTAAAAAAATGAAATTGCTGAACAGGCAGCACAGATGGTTATTTATGTTGCAGGTGCCAAACTAAAGCAGCTAATGCAGCCAGGTGGGTACTGCTCACACACTGAAAGTGCCTTTCTCCCTCCCTTGACTCCTGCAGGAGCCTGACCTCCTCCTGCAGGTGCTTTGCACCCTCCTCTTGTTAGAGCAAGGACAGAAACACGGTGCCAGTGCTCAGGCTCAAGGACCCAGCGGGCCACCACGTCTTGCATATGGTGACAACCCATTCACATGCAGTATAAGCCCATGGAAGCATTACCAGTGCCCACAGGCTCCATTCTAGCTACACATCCCTTTCTGTTGCTGTCACCTTTCATGGGTCAGATCTATGCAGACTTGCTCATGTACTTGCTCTTATTCATGAGTGGCCCAGAAGAATCATTTGGGCTGTTTCTGTGCTCAGACATCCCTCTTATCTTTCAGTTTCCAGGAAGTAACGTTTTGGTTTTGATTTGGGTTTTCTATTGCAAAAAAAATATTTTGCATGAATTACAAGGATAGGAAGGAACAGACGTTTTGGCAGTTGTCGGCGCTTCCTACTGGTAGCACCAATGGCTTATTGGGAAAACCAGCATGGAACAGCATCTGGGCACTCTCAGGAGGGCACACGCGGGCCCGGGCGGCTCGGCGCTCGCCGGTACGGACGGTCCCGACTCATCCTGCTGCCCCGTGCGCGGAGAGGTGCCAACGCGGACACGCTGGGTGCAGGGGAGGGAAGGGGCAATAACCATCCACCTGCCCAGACCAGGGGGTGTTCAGGCACCTCCTCGTGTGCCCGGGAGCAGAGAGCCCAATGAATGTGGGCACCCCGAGATGCCACTGCTTCCCTAGTGCCCACGTCAGCCGCGCGCTTGGAAAACGGGTCACGGAGAGCGCGTCCATGGAGCGCGTGGGATTCACGCTGCAAGCACTGGCACAGCGGGATCAGCACGGACACGTGTCGGTGCCAATCGCCCTATACTGCGCTTAAGCCTTTAGCAAAAGGTGCAAGATTTCCTGGATCCGAGGGACATCCGAGCAAGCAGAACCCACTCTAGACGGCCGGGAGAAGCCGCGTGGGTTTGAGACCCAAGTGGGCCCAGCTCTGCCCGAAGCGACTCGAGCCCCCGATGCTCAGAGGGGAGCAGCTGCTGCAGGAATGTCAACGAGAGCGGGGCCCTTTCATCTCCGCAGGACGGGCTCGCTGGCTAATGAATAACACGCGGCCCCGGCGCGGGACGCGCTGCCAGAGCCTCTCCTCTCTGCTGGGATGCTGTGGTCTCGCAGTGAGCCGCAAAGAGCCACAAAGACCAAGGGAAACGGGCTGAAGGACTCGGTGCTGTCACTGCGCGACAGCGAGGCCCAAGGAATATCCAGAAGAGAATCACAGAATCATGGAATCACAGAATGCTGAAGGTTGGAAGGGACCTCTAGGGATCATCTAGTCCAACCCCTGCACACGCAGGGTCACCTAGAGCACGTGGCACAGGACTGCGTCCAAGCGGGTTTGAAGATCTCCAGAGAAGGAGACTCCACAACCTCTCTGGGCAGCCTGTTCCAGGGCTCTGGCACCCTCACTGGGAAGGAATTTTTCCTTAAGTTCCTGTGGAACTTTTGGTGTTTCCCAGCATTTCCAGATGAAGTGCTGGAATTCCAGCAAGGCCATTGCAGAGCTGGACTTCTGCTGCTGTCTTCTGCTTTCAACGCACACAAGAGCATTCTGCAGAAGGGCACGTGCTTCAGCACGCACCAATGCAAAACTAAGTGAGGGGCTGGGGCGGCCCCTGCACTTTGGAAACACCAAGAGCAGATTCTGTGGTCTGAATTTAAACTTGACATCCAGACTTTTCCCGAGAAGTCCGGGAAATAACCAAGTTCTGGAGTTTGGCTTTAGCATCCCTTCCAGGTCTACTCCCAGCTGAAAGATTTTCTCCCCGTGCTTGACAGTGATTTGTTTTCACGAGGCAGAGAGTTCGTCAATGCTGCAACACAAGTGCAGGAGAAGGGCCAAGGGGCCTGGGGAGCAGCCTCCAGCCAGCAGAAGAGCTTTCCATGCTTCCAAGCCCTTTCCAAAGGGCTTTCCATGCTCCAAGGGCATGGTTTCCCAGGGCACTGCAATGCCACGTCCATCCAACCTGTCCTAAACTGAAGGGATAGCTCTTTGCAAAGCTGAAGGCAAAAAAGATGGGCAAGTGGCAGGATCCACTAGCTCCAGCACTGGACGTGCATGTTCCCCCCATGACAGTGAATCTCGGTGTTGTGCTCAAGGCAGATACCCCCTGTACCCACCAAAGAACTATGAAACAACTTGAATAAACACTGCATGAGAAGCACCCAGAAATGGCTTCAAGGCACTGCAAGATTGAGCCAGTTACCCTTTCAAATCCTTCATGCATGTACGTGTCGCCTCCTGGAAGGACTTTCTGCAGCTCCTCCAGCCCTTGGCGTATCTGTTCCCTGAAATATGAATAGAAACTGTTATATCCAAGACTAAATTTACCAGGAGCTGATGCAAAAAAGAAAAAAAAAAAGTTAACCTAAAGTTCATATATGCTAAGGGAATGTTTGGATAAAAACATTTAGGAAGAGGAAGATAAGGCAGATTTGCTGCTCTTTATCATACCCACACATTCAGTTCTTGTCCAAACTGACTTGGAGATTAAAGCTTTTCCCATTAGCTCATTCCAATTCAGAGTATCAGGTTTGATGTTTTGGAAATGCAGGCACATTGACAGATCAGTTGTGGGCTAAGGGGCCCAGACCCCCATGTTGCTCCTTTGAGTTGCAGGCACCAAACTCTGGAAGCCAAATACAGGCCAGAAATAAAGATAAAACCCCTGCAACGGGGGTGGTTAAGTCTGAGCAAATGCTGTTGTGTTCATAGGAAGTGAACAGGGTCCCTGCATGGGGACCACCCGGATATTGCAGGTC